TTGCACGTGTCGGCGCGTGTGACTTTAAGTCCGGACATACTGAGGTTTATATTTGTTTTACGTAGAAGAACTACATTATCAAGTCCCTCCGCACACCCTACTTCCAAATATCTGGCTTCCAGTTTTTAGGTACAGAAATTGAATAAAGTAATCAAATGTAAAATAACATTGTATATTTGACTGTATAAATTAAAGATGAATCCTTATTAAAGTTACAAAAGCTATTCAATCAAGAGCAGTGAGTAGTTTCCTTGTCTTTTGTTGTTTGATTAACATTAAGAAAGTGCTGTCACTTTAAGACAATTCATGGATCCAGTACACTGATACTGTACGTTCAACCGACCATGTCTGCTAGGAAACTCACCAAGACAGGCATTTTGACATAATTTTTGTTTGAATGTGTCCTTTCAAGAAATCAATGACTGGTCATATTCCAGCATACTGCACTCGCATTGAACAAAGAGTGACAGCTTTGTCCACGTTTTTTATTTTTATTTTTTTTTCATCGTTGTTGTTGTTATGTATTGGGAAGCCAGAATGTGTATCCATCAACAGAAACATACATTAGCCGAACTGTTTTATGTGTTATTTTTAACAAACCATTTTACAGATGCGTTGTCATTTTTAAGGTGAATCGCGGTGCAAGTGCGTGCCGAACCGTGGGTGGAGAACCGTATGGTATAATTTTTTACCGAGAACCGTTCCACCCCTAATTCATAGGGATTTATTTATACCGTATTGACCCGAATATAAGACAATGTTTTTTTCTTAGAAATACGTCTGAAAAAACACGGTCGTCTTATATTCAGGGTCTAGACTTTGACATGTCAATAATACACCCACAGTGGCGCCAAATACGCATAAAACGAGTGTGCCATGAAATACGTAATGTAATGCGTGTTGTAAAGATCGCGAGTAAAACCTTACAGCTGCATGAGTCGTGCCTGTCATGTTAGCCTGATGGGACAAAACTCCCTTTGTGATTTTAAAACGTAAGACAGTACCCAGATTTGAAGTCTACAGTAAGATTTAACTTCTACTGTTAATAAGATTTTGGTAGGCTACTATTAGATGGATAGCCTAAATGTCCTAATTCAGATGGGCTACCTGTTTTAAAAGTGTATATTTTTTAAATGTGATTGTTGGTACATTTTACCAGTTTTTACCATACTTTCAAAACAAAAATTTAAATAGGAAAAATATGCAATATGAAAATAATTGAAGGCAAAATGTGTTTTACTGAGAAAAAACAAGATTTGTTTTTTAAAAAGCCTTTTTCCAAAAGGTACATCTGGAAAAAGGGGGGTTGTCTTATAATCAGGGTCGTCTTATATTCGGGCCAATACGGTATGAAGTGTCAAAGTTGTTTATAATGCTGGATTTTCAATGTAGAAACAGAAATCTCTTAGCTTGTATTAAAATATCTTCATCTGTGTTTTGAATATGAACTAAAGTCTTATTGTTTTTGGAACAACATACGGGTGAGTAAATGGTGACTATTTTCATTTTTGGGTGAACTAGACCTTTACGTCCACATTGGCATTGTTTGGTGCACTTTATAAAGGCTTGGTTCTTGAACAGCTTGTGGTGTGGTTATAATCTCTATTTGAAAATATTTTCAAGCGGGTGTTGTTGAATATTTGTGTGACATGTCAGTCAGATGCGCTTACTCAGAACGCCATCTGTACAACACCTTAGTCACTTATACTGAATCCAGGCTGAATTGCAATTTCCCCATGGGATCATGTTGGCACTAGTCAGTGTGTTGCAGAATGTTCTTCTGTGCCAGTCTGTTTGGTACATGAGGCAGCAGGCGAGCTCTGCTCTGCCAGTGGGATGTGCGTCACACTCCTTGTGCTCCTTGTGAACCCTAGTGCTTCTCTCGAGTGAGGAGGGGAAAGGTGTGGCGGCAGTGGCAGATTGGCCTCATGTGGGAGCGGTAGTTGCACCCTCAGCGTCCTGTTTGTTTCTGGGACTTGTGCGCCCCATGTTCTTGAGCTTAATCTGCCTTCGGCACACACATACGTATCTTGTTTTGTAGGAATGTTGACAAATGGCTTGTGCTTACTTAGAAGCACCGTTGCACCTGCTCTCATTTGTGTAATGGTAACTAATAACTTGTTTTTTCCCTGAGTACAAAGTAATGTGATTCTAACTCATTCTGCATTGTCGTATTGCTAATAGACTTTGCATGTAATGTAAACACCACCATACAACACATGGATACCCTGCAGCATCTGTTCTGTGTTTTGTTGATTATCACCATAAAGTGTAGGATGTATTGTGATATGAGCAATTCAGTTCCTCAAGGTTTCTCAGTTCTCTCGTCGTCCATGAGTTAGTTTCGAGAACAATGATGTTTTGAAACGTACTATTTGTTCCATTTGTCTTGAATTGAAAACACTGCTTATTAAACTGCTATATGCTCTGTTTTTTCACACATTAAAAACTATTGACTGGATAAAATTCATTTAAATACTAAAAAATGTAAAAGGAACTGAGACTCAAGACTCACAGATAAATTCCCCAAAGTGTTCATCTTGTCAGAATCCACTGTGCATTAAACATATTTTGCTGGACTGTAATCCTTCTACTCTTTTTGAGACTTAATAAAACTTGTTTTATTCTGTTGATATTTTAGAAAAGGTTTTTAACCAAGTAAATCCAAATTTAGTCTTAACTCACATTTGACTAATTTTGTAATGTTTTTAGTGTAGGACTCTCAGTTCCTTTTTAAAGCCATGCCAGTTTCTATGGCTATGTTCATGGCGAGAGCCAGGTTTAGTTATTCAAAAATAAAAATAAAAAAGATGTTTAAGACTTTTTTTTTCTAAAAACCTTAAAGGGTATTATGCACTTTTACAAAGTGAGCACGAACTGATTCCCCAGTCTGGCATGAAAGGCTCGAATAGTTCCTGTATCAAATGAAGGCCCGCCTTCTGAAATACAAAATGTGCTGTGATTGGTTAGCTGGGCCAGTGTGTGTTGTGATTGGCAGTACTCGACGCCTGGTCGGGAAATGTCATGCCCCTTACCATAGCTGCCTGCGAGCTTCAGTGTAAATATTGCGTCAAAATCAAATCAATTTCAGCACGATTTAAACCCGGATGATTGTAACCACTCTAAGTTGGTCTGCCTTGGGAAAGCTAGCGTGTCTCCGACTTAGTGATAACACTCGTTGCCTTCTCTAGTGCAGCTCAACCAGGTCTCGTCCCATTCGTCCATATTTGTGATATCACAAATCCTGGAAAATATGCATTGTAGTCTAAACGAGTCGTTCGTTGTAGTTTTTGAAAAGTGATTTCTGTTAAATAAAATAACTCCTTTTGAAGTGGACTTTGAACTTTGTTACTTTGCAGATCTTTTTTATGCTCAAACAGCAACATTACAGACTAACTAAAGTTTAAAAAGTGAAAAAGCATAATAGGACCCCTTTAAACTGCCTTTAGCCAGTAAATAATGCTCACTAGTTGATTGGTAACTGGAAACTCAGCATTACCTGGACTAAATCATTTTTTAAGAATGATAATCTGATCTTTGATCATGTGAGATATGTGTGAAAGTCACTTTTGTAGAGTGGCTTGGAAAAAATGCTAGGAATAAATGAATACAGGCTAAATGACTGAATCTTATTTTAATTGGGATTTAAAGTATATTAACTTTTTTATTTTTAAATATGCAACCATGTATGTTAAAGGTGACATATCATGAAAATCTGACTTTTCTAGGTTTTAAGTGCTATAATCAGGTCCCCAGTGCATCTACCAACCAAGGAAACGTGAAAAAGATTAACCCAGTAACTTTGTTTTGGTAAGCTTTTTTCTGCAAGCATCTGAAAAAAATGAGCGCGTCTGATTTCGCTCCCCTAGTGAAGTTGCATAGGCATCTCATTAGGGATGCACCAAAATGAAAATTCTTGGCCGAAGCCAAAACCGAACAAAATTAAACACTGGGCCGAATACCGAACACGGTTTTTCGAGTTTTTGCCAATGTATTTTGCCAAATCTTTTTTCACCATTGCATAAATTAAAAAGCCAAAATGTGCTTTTTACTGTTTTGTCTTGCTTTTCAAAGAAAAAAAATCAATGGCAAAACAACAATTTAAAAATATTTAACACTGAACATTTTTAACATTCTAGCAGACACTATACCAACAAAGCACAATTTAACTTGAAATTAATAAGTTAGTAATATAATAATTTTTTGGCCATCAGACCCCCTTCTTGAATCCGATTTTTTTTACTGTACCATTAAAAGCAGCCTTGCTGAGAAGAGACTTCTTTTAAAACATTAGAAAATATTACAGATCCTAATTTGAACACTATACGTGAATGTTATAATAAATGTATTAAAACAGAGCTGTTGTAATGATTATTATCATTATTATTGTCTTAACTTTTTATTTTATTTTATAGAACAACAGTAAAATTACAATACTAACATTTATGAATGTTGATAAGAGTTCTTGCTTTTTCTCAACTTTTATTTTGGCAGAAACGCGCAGGAAGACCTCAATGCTTATTTTTGTTGACAACAGATTTATAAATGAGTCTCATTACGAATACGTCGTCTGTATCGCATTGTCACATGCCTTGTAAAAATTCATAAAAATGTGACTGAGCAACTGATGACTGTTTCAGCGCAGATTTTCCTCGCGCTTTGGACTTTGAACCCTTGAACCCGAGTTCGTGCAGCACTGTCAGAATACATGCAATGCGCGCGTGTATTAGAAAACTTAACGTTCTGCAGTTTATTTACTAATTGTTTAAGGCCATTTCGCGATTTCAATCATCATACAGTAACCAGCAACATTCACCTCTTCCTCTTCTCATTGAAGACATGCGATGCA